TAAGCAGCCAATTCACGATTAAATGTTTCTTCATGGACTGAATCTTGGAAATTACAAATTACAAAAGAAACTCAACAGGTCAAATATTTATTAAAAAGGGATTAAAAAAATATATTTTAAATGTGAAATCTGAAGAGGACAATGCTTTTCAAGTATGCACTTAAGCCTTTATATTCATGTGACACACAACTAGGACTCAGAGCACTGTTAACTGAGCCACGCACTACCCAAAAGGTCAGTTTTTGAATCTGATGAACCTGTTCAGTAGATCACAAATTGTACAACGCCACAACGTATGGTTATGCACTATTGTGTGCTGTCATGCCCTGCATCTGGAAAAAATGGTGCATGTCCAGATTTTGCTGCATTGTGGTGTGTTGTGCCTATTTCAATGAAACGCAGGTTAACAGACCATAATGCAGTGTATAAATCTGAATAGGCCCTAAGGGGTGTACTGCATATGGTCAAAAAACAAATCACTCTGCTTTTAAAGTGTTACTAAACCCAGGACCCTGCGTTCACTATATCTGGTCTCCCACAGTACACACAACATGAAAATGCAATTAATTTAGTAAATATAAACTGCTAAATACCTTTTTTTCATCAGCAGTCACAGCAGTTTTGTGACTTCTGTTCAGCCAAGCACCAGTTAAAGCTTGTAGGAAGAGTTTTCATTTTGCTATGACTGTCCTGTGTGGCTACAGGACCCTTGACCCTCTGTTTGGACAGCGCTGTTTGACTGATCACATGCAAAAAAAAAACCTCTCTAGCAATACACACCAAACTGAGCACATGCAGAGTGACTCTACATGATATGTCTTATCAGGATGTAAGAGGGGGACACTGGAAGAAGGGGAGGATCAGGGAAGACAAGATCAAACAGCATTTTAACAGAATGCAGATGATTAACCCCTTTGGTTCCACAGTAAGTATAACAAGCAAGCTTTACTGCATATACAGACTGATTTTTACTGTTGTGGGTTTAGTAACACTTTCATTTCAAATAGCATAGTTCGACAGTAATACTGGGTCATACCACTCATGAATGATAATTTAGTTGTGATGTGGAGTCTGGTGGGCTAAGTCATCTGCCGCTTTCTTCTATCCCTTGAAGATCCCAGCTCAGCTGTGGCCCAATTGGTCATCTCACTCCCATCCCACAACAAAGGTGCTTCTGTTCCTCCTGCTCAACTCTTCATAATATTAAATAAACATTTAATGGGGACAGGGGACCCTCTCAAAAATGCCCTCAAAAGACAGCAGACATACGGTAAGTACTCATGCACAAAAATCTTACCATCAAGAGTCCCTGAGAGAAATATGAAATCACTGGGCAATTTAAAGAAGAATTATGGGGTTAATATATATAACTAACATATGTACTCACTTCCATGCTGCAGCATCCATGTGACAGTGCAGCTGTTCAATAGAGATGACAGATCACAGGACCGCTGACCTGTCAGCTCTAGTCTGTTTTTAGTGGAGAACAGTCCCTTCATCCCACTCTCTTCCTTCATCTCTCACTGGAGCCACAGACTAGGGAGAGAGTGGGTGCAGCTGGCTCTGACTCTTACCTGCAAGTTAAAAGGGGTAGCAAGCTGTCAATTAAGCACCCAGCTGGATCTCAACTCCCTGTAAGTATAGCCAGGAAAAAGGTTTGGCATAGTTCCCTGAAACTGACATACCAATTTTGAGTGGACTGAGCTCTAAAACCAATTAATTGATTTAAAGGACACTTTGAGGTCAATTTACTAAAGGATTCCGCATGCCATATGAAGGTCACGTGACTCATTTTTAGTAAATATCGCATGAGATAAAGTCAATTCATCAAAGAAAAATATCAAATATGAGATAAATATCGCACATTTGTTAAAAATGTGAGATAAATACTGCAAAAATTGAGATAAATCAATTCACTAAAAAACAGACATTTGTTATTTATCAACTAGTGTAGGCAGCCAGTATGTTAGTAATGCACAAAATAACAATGAGGGAACTCTGCACTGGCCGGTAAGTTAAAAGAATACAATTGGGAAGATTTAATGAAATTGGAGCATACAAAATCTGGTGCAGCTCTGCATAGAAACCAATTTAGTTTCTAGGTTTTATTATCAAAGCTTAATTGAATAAGCTGAAAGTGGTTGTAAAGGCTCTAGGTTTTTTACCTTAATGCATTCTCTGCATTTAGGCAAAAAAACATTCTGCTAGCAGCTCCCCCCACAGCCCTCCTGAATACTTACCTGAGCCCCATCTTGATCCTGTGATGTGCATGGGAGCAGAGACTCTCCCAGGTCTCCCTCTCCTCATTGGCTGACACAGCAGCATGAGCCATTGGCTCCCACTGCTGTCAACCACAGCCAGTGAGGAAGGAGCAGGGTGTGGGGCCGAGTCACGCTCTGTGTCTTATAGACACTGAAAGCCGGCTCAGGAGTAAGCATGAACAAGTGTCCCCAAATCAATCGGTTTGCAATGGGGCTCTCAGCAAGGAGGAGGGGCAAGGAGCGCTAGCTGAGGACACGATAAGCAGAGGATCAGGATTGCTCTGTGCAAAACCATTGCACAGAACAGGTAAGTATAACATGTCAGTTATTTTTTTAAAATAAAAGGCAAGCCCTTACAATAGTTTGAAGTTAGAAGATGACTGGCTACCATGCACAGCTGCACCAAACTCTGAGTGCTCCGGTTTTAGTAAATCTCCCCCCCAAGATTCAGTGTGAAAATGTTCTACCCTGAGCTCAGCAATGAGAAGAAATTGTAACATTTCACCAGAGGGAAATGATTCTGTGAAGGAAAGCACACTAGAATGTTTTCACAGTTTCACAATATTTATGTGTGAATGAATTTACAGAACAACTATCTTCCTCTGGTAAAGTGTTAGCATTTAAAAAAATTGCAAATAATAAAACATCAAACATAAGGCTAAATTAAAGTGCTAAATATTGCAAAACATAAATTTGTAATGCGTTTGTTAAATAACGCATGTTTTGTTGAATTGACTACTTTTGAGGTAAATACTGCATGAGTTATTTTAACTTAAAAATTCAAGCCGTATTTATCACTTAATGAATTGACCCATTTAGCATATACAAGTAAAGCATAGATAAACACGTGAAGCCAATTCACTTGCATTAATCCTGGGTGAAAAAAATGATAAATAGATTTTTACATCTTTCAGAGGTCATTTTCTAACACACATCTCTTAATATTCCAGGCAGACGTTTGGATAGATAAGAAAAAAAACAGCTTGTAGAATCAGGCACCACAATCTGTCAGCAGATACCTGTTGTTCAGCAGCAGTGAAGAACAGTCACACAAAGCAGCTATGCAAAGAGCATTTTTTTTTCAAAACACACACACAATCTCTCATGACAATGCTCAGGCCTCCTGATAGGTTAGCCTGGTATAGGGGCTGCATCGTGGAATGGGAGTGAGTGTGTGCCTAACCTTTACGTCCAGTAACTGGATAAACAGCATTGGAATCTGGGTGGCTCTAGGCTGCCCTGATTCCGCAGCAATAAGTGTTTATGGCCATCTTATTTCAGCAGCCTCTTGCAGGGGTAAATCTGGCCAAATTCCTGTGAACTGGTTGAAATTAGAACCATAGGTGGCCCTGCCGACACCACCCAGTGTAATAAAATCAAAGGAGTCGGGCGGAAAAACGTTGGTTTAAAGCTGGCCATACATTATACAATTTTCTTGTACAATTTTCCTTCGATTTACCAAAAACCATATAATATGAGGTCAAACCTAAACAACATTTTCATTTTTATCCAATTAGGCAGGTCCTTGCACTACATAACTGAAGGTAAATCTGAAGGAAATTGTACAGAAATTGTGCAAAAAAATTGTAAGAAAATTGTGTAAGGTATGGCCAGCCTTAGAGTGACTGCAGCCAAGTAGCTGAAGTCACTGTTTGTGTATTCGGACAATCACAAGTTGTCAGAATAATATAGCCGAAAACAGGAGATTCATCTATCCACGCTGTTTAATGGGCATGGGTGTATTTATAGAATTATTATTATGATTGGCCTGCCTTAGTTTTTCCACAGCTTAAACACATAGGCCAAGGTGTTCCCTTAAGCCACCCACACACAAAAGACAGAGCCCTTTCCTAAAGCTGCAAGGATCTTACCTGCTAAAAAAACCAATCATCTGAAATACAGGCATGTATTTCTGGTGATATAAAGGTATTTTGGTAGCACAGGAATACATATTGTGTTTATTTGTTCAATTATCTTGGAGTCGTTGACAACCTCCATAATTTTCTCAGAACTGGTTTACTTAAAGTGTATGTAAGCCCAAGAACAAAAATGCAATATAATGCAGATTACCAGTCCTTAGCTGTGGTAGCTGCATTCATTCTTCGTTTAAGACTTTTTGTATTATTTTTACCTGTGGTCCTGCTAGTAACATACTTCTTGCCCTAGAGGGTCATAACGCTCACTCACTGCACTGTATCTCTTAAAGAGCAGGACTGTCATGCTAGATCAGGAAGTGTGTTAGGACTATAGAATACTTCCCCATCCCTTCATTTCTAGAAAGCTGGGGAAGGTGTTCTGTAATTCAGTTCAGTAGGGCTGATAATATAGCCTGAAATTTAATTCTTAGCTCACTACAGGATGTTAGGAACCCATGGGATTTCTGATAGAATCAATAGGTATTTTTTCCAAAGACATAAAAAATACTTTCAATGAAAAACTTAACAGACCTAGGGGGAGAAGATAGAAGTTCATTGCTAGGGTTTACATACACTTTAAAGGTGCAAAAACATGTTCATCCTACGGTAAACTGCCATAAAATGCCACTTCTACACATCAATTTTTTTGGCAACATTTGTATATAAATAACCTGTTTCTTCAAACTGCTATCTAATGTCTGAGGATAGCCTTACTGGACCAGAGATGATTAAAAAAAAAATGTGCTCTTCTCTGGATAGCAATTAGATGGATGTGCACGAGATGGAGGGTTTAATACAGGATTGGCCAATGAGATCAGAAATGCTATCTCTTCCCAGTCCGCCGTGTCTCTTTGCCATTACTAATGGAATTTGGTGCTCCAGGGAGTGAGTGGTTAGGCTGGCTACGTGTAATTCGTCCACTTGATGGATGAGCAGTTGCTGGGGGTGGATGTACAGTACTGCTTTGGTTGTTGGTTCCATTACCATTTGGCAAATCAGAAGCTGAAAATGAGTGAAGAGACATTCTAAGTTTTCAGGCATCTTCTCTTTCTTTATAACAAAATTAATCTGTGCTTCGCCCATGCAGATAAAACAATTGTTCAATTTAATGCTTATGTTTACCTTCCCTTTGTTTCCAACCACTGTGCTGACCCATGGAAGGAGCCCAGTATGAGCTGTAAGTCATGACTTAGACATTTTGCAGGGCTGAGGACTTGTTCCCCCACAGGGCTTGGTGTCTTAGCAGCCAATCACCAAGCACCAGCAGTCTCATGTGGGAGGAAGAAAAGTGAGTAATATGATCCTCCATATCTGAAAGTACTGAGTGTATAACATTTCTTAGCTGGGCAAATAAAATGGCAGAGAAGCAAACAGAATGGAAGTATAAGCAGCTGCAGGGCATTGCCATTAAAGTGAACCTGTTGCATTCCCTTTAAGGGCAAAGCATATGTTTATTTTAAGCTATACAAATGTTTGCATTTCTTCTTACATTAAGTAAACGTAGTTATTCAGCTGAGTTATATATAAATGAATATTTAATAAAGGAGCATGTAATTAAAGAGTTATTTTCATTATTACCTGCTGGAGCCGCACTGCTGGAGGAGCTGTGATTGGCTGTTCCTGGCAGGCTGTCTGCTTGTGCCTGAGATGACAGAGTCAAATGTAAGTTATAAGCCCACAGAAAGCAATCATGGCTAAACACGAGAAACCTTGCAACCCTTGGAGGCTTTAATAACTTGTAAAAGTGTAAAAGAGGGAGTTAAGAATTGTTTTAGGATCTGTTATCATTTTGACATTGAAACCTTGTGAGTCCTAATTAAAGTGGTTCTAAAGGCAGAAAGATTTTTCTCCTTAATAGAATCTATGCATTAAGATAAAAATCTTTCTGCACACTGTCCCCTTCAGCCCCACCTATACTTACCTGAGCCTGATCTCAATCCAGCGATGTGCATGACAGCAGAAGCTCTCTCGGTTCTCTGTCTCTTCATTGGCTTAGAGACAGCAGCAAAAACCACTGGCTCCTGCTGCCGTCAATCACAGCCAGTGAGGAGGGAGCATGAGGCGGGGCAGAGCCTCACTTTGTGTGTCGATGGGCACACAGAGCAATGAATGCCCCTATAGCACGCGGTTTACTACGGGGCATTTGGCAGAGGGGAGGAGCCAAGAGTGCCAGCAGGGGACCCCAAAGGAGGAGGATAAGGGCTACACTGTGCAAAACCAGTGCACAGAGCAGGTAAGTTTAACATGTTTGTTATTTTTAAAAATTAAATGTAAGCCTTTACAATCACTTTAAATCCTAAATGCAGCCAAAATAAAAAACACAAACATCAACACAAGGGACATAACTTAACAGTCAGTAGGATGTGTCCCTTGTGCCTTGGGTGAAATCCTCCTTTGCCCATGCAAACCCCTCCCGACCCGCAGTCTTCTAATGCAGAGGAGGTTAATATAACTGTGGGGGGTGTCACAGGCTCTCATTTACAGTGCCCAACTATGCCTGCCCTTTCTGTCTAGCTGCTCCATTAAAAGAAGCTGTGCTACAGCTTTTATGAATGAAACGGGATCTATAAATGGAGGACGGGTGGATGATTGATAGATCTGCCACCTCCAAAAATGTTATATATAACTGAAATTAATCTCAACAGGAGCTATCTTCTCTTAATTAGGATTCAGAAGGGTTCTATGTCAAAATTACAGCAATCACATTTCAACTTGCACATGTATGGGTGAGTGCAGGCAGTAATGCATGTATAGCCATGCACAATGTATTCTGTAATGCATGTCAATGGGCAAAATTACATAGTCTGGCTGAAAAAAGACAAAAGTCCATCCAGTTCAACCATTCAATTACACTGCAGATGTGGCTCCCAGGTACCACAACAGCCATATTTAATTTTAAGCCTGTATGCCCTAATGAATGTCCTTGTACAAGAGTCCTTTTTCTGTGCTTAGAGTTTCATGTTGTTTCCTTGTACAAAAGCCTGTATGGCATGAATGAGTCATTTGTTTACATGTCTGGAGCCGCTTAGAGCTGCATACAAGCGGCTTACGTAAGTGAATGGATATGCAGAGGCTGTATAGACACAGCTGTACATCTAAGTTTGACAGGCATGCAGGGAAAGGTGTATGGTGCATAATGCCACCCCCCACCATGCAACAAATTCATGTACTTCTTTCTGACAATCACAACAGAATTCTAAAGACTGTCGATGACACTCTTACTGAATTCCAGGGAATATGTAGTAAGACGGTGCCATCTTTGATCACCATGTCATCAGGACAAGCAAAACTCCTATTTTCGTCTTCACCTGACAGGTTAATGCAGCACAGATGTAGTTAGAGACAGATTCCCCTTGCTCCAGAGGTAAGGGAGCAGTTGGTTCCTATCTGAACAGAGATTTTTCTAGCTTTGAAATTGTTCCCAATAGCAAAGCCTTCTGTTAGAAGCATTTGCCTTCTCTCTCCAGAAGGTATCCCTTTGTGGTCTGATCTTTGGCCTATCGCCACAAGACATTATGGGGTCAATTCACTAAAGGTTACCGCATGCAGTATAAAGGTCACGTGATTCGTTTTTCAGAAATATTGCATGAGATATTAAGAGTCAATTCATCAAAGTAATATATCGATTGTGAGGTAAATACTATAAAAAATGTACTTTTACGTTATTTGTCACCTGATGTTTGCTGCCGGTATTTTAGACATGTACAAATTAACAATTAGAGCTGACCCACACTTATGCAGTGCGGATTGAAGCTCAGGTTTCATAGCTAATTGATACAGTAGTTGTTCACTGGTTCATGTCAGGTTTACATCAGGTTCAGGACAGGATTAGCTCTCCAGATTATCCTGTTCACACATATGCGGTTTAGAAACAGTTCCCATATAAGTCAATAGCCTGTAATCTACACCTGAACTGGACCCGACTGCTCAGAAATCGGACAAGACTCTCTTTTTCAAACTGAACTCAATCTGCACTGCCGGTGCACCGGACATATGTGAACAGGCACCATAGGAATCAATGTTATTTCACATGTTCAAACCACATCCAATCTGCATATATGTGAACCAGCACTTACAGGAACTCTGTACTGGCCAGGAAATGAAAATATACAATGTATTAGTGTGAAAATGTTTACCTCTGATCTCAGAAATGGATACAAATTGTAACATCTCATTAGAGAGAGACTGCTTTTGTGAATGAAAGCACACTAGAATGTTTTCATAGTTTCACAATATTGCTGTGTGCCTTCTAGTGCAGTGTTAGACTGCAAAAAAAAAAAACAAACAAAAAAAAAACGTTAAACGCCTAAGATACTGCAACATTTAAGCGCCAAATATCGCAAAATATTTACCACATTTGGTAAATAACCAGTGCATTGAGTACTTTTTAAATAAATACAGCATGAGTTATTTTACTTGAAAAATAAAGCAGTATTTATCACTTACTGAACTGACCCTAATTACATAGGATTTAATAAGTGAGAAAAGATGGTGCCTCACCACTAGAAATGATCATACACAAGTTTTCTACTACTGCTAACAGAAGAGACATTTACCTGTTTGTTTTGAGATTGCTGTGTCAGTAACTCAGGGTTTGGTTCACTAAAATTAGGCACTTCAGAATATACCATGCAAAATCTGAAAAAGAAAATTGACAACACAAAAATGGATCAATAAAATCAGAAAATGATCAAACATTTGACAGCAGATGCTGATTTTTAACAAGTGATATACAGAACAAAGAAAATACTGTGAAGGACTCACATACACCAATGCTTTGGTATGGTTCTAGGTATGGCTGAGAATCCATCACTGCAAGCTTACTGTAGAATCCAGGACCGATCTAACTAATCTTAAAACTGCTCCCACACCCTTCTAACACCTATACCAGGGGTGGCGAACACGCGGCTCTTCGGCCAAAATGAATGCGGCTCTTTGCCTCTTATCATATTTTGTATACTGTGGCTCTTTGCCAAGTTTCATGTTTCTCTTATTTTCACCTGTTCCTCTATCCAGCGGCGCGCTGCTGTCTTCCGGCTTCTGTAGTGTGGGCACTGAGCATGACAGCCGGGTGCCAAGTGCGCATGCGCAAGAAGCGGTGCTTTTTGTGAATGGTAAGGCGGTACCTGGGACACATGACAGATCCCAGAAGCCGCCGGACCAATCACAAAGCGCAAGTGCTTCTCGCTCATGCGCACTGGGCACCCGGCTGTCATGCCGAGCGCCATTACAGAAGCCGGGAAGACAGCGCGCGGCTGGATCGAGGAACAGGTAAGATCAAACAAAAGCTCTGCGGAAGTAAGTGCGGGTACCTGTCAAATTCAGGTACCCGCTCCCCACCTCCCCAAAGGTCAGCAGTCATCTGTACTGTCCGCAGTCTCTGGTCATCCCTGTGCTGTCCGCAGTCTCTGGTCATCCCTGTGCTGTCCGCAGTCTCTGGTCATCCCTGTGCTGTCTGCAGTCTCTGGTCATCCCTGTGCTGTCCGCAGTCTCTGGTCATCCTTGTGCTGTCCGCAGTCTCTGGTCATCCCTGTGCTGTCCGCAGTCTCTGGTCATCTCCTGTACTGTGTCTGCAGTCCATTAGTTCAGAATTTTTTTTGTATACTTGTGTGTTAGAGTGAGAGAGAGACAGGTGCCACAGCAACCTCCAGGGTAGTTGATGTGTTAACTGTGGCTAAGTTGCATTTGATGTGTGTGTTGAGGGTGGACACTTACCTTGAAATGAACACATTGTTGTTTTGTAAGAGGAAGAAAGTGTTATGGTGAATAATATGGTTTTAATTATGTGTTTTTGTGTGAGTGTTTGTCTGTTTTGGCAGGTCACTGCGTGGTGTGGCTCTCTGACTTTCAGTTTAAAATTTTGGCTCTTTGTGTCTAACTTGTTCGCCACCCCTGACCTATACTAACTATTATGAGGAAGAAAAATGCATATACTTACCTATTCTCAGGCTGCTCTGGTCCTCTGTGTCCTCTGCGTCAGCCAGCGGCTTAATGGAAGAGAAGAGAGCACTCCGACAAAAGCTGGAATGCTTGAGCAGTGAAAACACCCATAGTCTGACTATTGGCCATCCAATGTCAGTGGTCAATCCTCTCCCAAATAAACTGTTGCTAGCTGACAGAGGGAAGCCAATCACATGAGTGGAGAAAAGCAGCTTGAAAATGGAGTACATACATCTTTCTTCTACAGGGTGACTAGTATACATTCACTGGCCACTTTATTAGATACACTCGTTCAATTGCTTGGTAACACAAATTGCGAAATCAGCCTATCACATGGCAGCAACTCAATGCTTTAAGCATCTAGACATGGTGAAGACGACTTGAAGTTCAAACCGAGCATCAGAATGGGGAAGAAAGGGGATGTAAGTGACTTTGAACGTGGCATGGTTGCTGATGCCAAAAGGGCTTGTCTGAGTATTTCAAAAACTTCTGATCTACTGGGTTTTTCACACACAACCATCTCTAGGGTTTACAGATAATGATCCGAAAAAGAGAAAATATCCAGCGAGCAGCAGTTGTGTGGACAAAAATGCCTTGTTGATGTCAGAGGAGAATGGGCAGACTGATTGCTGTAACATTCAGATGGTAGGGACAAAATTTGGCATAAACAACATGAAAGCATGGATCCATCTAGCCTTGTATCAATGGTTCAGGCTGGTGGTGGTGGTGGTATGATGGTGTGGGGGATATTTTCTTCGCACTAGCAAAGTGTACCTAATAAAGTGGCCAAGAGTGGTAAAGAGTTAAAGTGCCAACAGAATGGATTCAGATTCAATACTGATACAACCTGTAAACTGTATACAAGAATATGAACTGCTAATCATATGACTGTGAAAGGAGATTCAGGGAGGTCAAATTATATGCTGTATATTATATAGATAATAACAAAGAGCATCCACAGCAGGCAATGGATTTGTAACAGCATAAATAACAATGTAGGCAAAATGTTTGTGCATATGCCTTGATTCCTACTATGCATACTTATTAAAGCCCTGACAGGTAGATAGGTTGGCAGTGGTGAAGTACCAATGAAAGCTCTGTGAACTGAAAGTTATTATTATTATTATTATTTATTATTATACAGGATTTATATTAAAGCCTTACTCTCCGATTTTCTGCAAGTCACCTCCCCGTCCTGTGTAAAGAGTCAGGCAACCTTTGAAGACAGAAGCATAGCTGCAAATAGACAGAGAAAGATCAGAGAGAGCAAACAAAATGATCAGAGACCAAATCAACACAAAACATTTTTAATTCTAGATAAAATAAAGTAGAGCTTCGAACTAGAACCAAAACAATTAATCAACATAATTGATTATAATCAATAATAAAAATGCTTGTCAACAATTTTCATTATCAATTGGTTGGTCATTAGTTGGCCTGTATACAGAATGCATTATTTCTTTAGATATCAGTATACACAGTGGAGCACAAATACAGCTCAGCACACCGTCAATACAGGTCAGTAAGTGCCTGAACTTGTGAATGGGAGAGGAGCAATGCCTCATGGGACATGTAGTCCTAGGCAAGAAAAGGAAGTGATGTAAGTGCTCTGTCCAGGGAAGAGCGGCAACTGAACCCAGAGAACCTGGAGGCTGATAGACAGGAGGTAAATTAGGCCATTAAAGAAATTAAATTTTAATTACTGAAATTTAAAGTACCTGTAAACGTTTACCAGTAGTGCACATTATATTTTAAAATGATTATATCCATCCAAAAAAGCCTTAGCCTTTAGTTATACTTTAATTTAAAAGATTTATACCCCTCCACCCTTCATGTCTGACTCCCAATTAAAACACCCTGTATATCCTACTTCTGGATATTGTTTTCCCCAGTAAAAACGTCTGGGTATATTTATTATTATATATATTATATAGGTTATACATAATGTTTTTTTATATATATATATATATATATAAAACTTTTACTGTCTCACAGTATATATTAACCCCTTATAGTAGTGATTATCTGCAGCTGAGCTTTATTTGGTTCTGTACTACAAAGGGCTAATTTTTGTTTTTTTAACCCCATCATGCTAGTTGATACAACAAGCATGCTGCTGCTACCTAAATGACAAAAGGTGCAGGTAGCTTGTATCAAGCTATCTGTTTATGACAAAGGGAGTCAATCACAATATAATAATACAGTCCTGTCCCTGAGCCTGTTGATATGTACCAAATTCAACCTCTGTAATAAATATAAATATATATATATATATATATATATATATATATATATATATATATATATATATATATATATATACACACACACACACACACACACATAGGGCTCAAAATTTAAAGTCCTGAGCTACTAGCCAGGCCTTAAGTGTTACTCGCCACCAGTTTCCCCACCCAACCCCTACCCTGCCCTGCCCCGCAACAAGCCATTGTAATTTATTTTATGAAATTACACTGTTAAATGTTACCCACATTACATCAGGGTCTCCAGAGTCACCCCATATTACATCGAGGCCTGCAATGTCCCACTAAACACTCAATTCTACTTAGACCAAACACTGCATACAACTATAACTCCCCATAATCTTTTACTCACCAAATCATAACTCTACCAAGCATATCCTACCTACTATCCAACCCAGCAATACCTCAAATGCCCCATACTCTACCACCCATAATAACCACATAATCCTGAACCTGTCCAAACCACCCATACATGTATGTTTACATCAGACACATGTACACACAGACACATGCACATACAAACACACACACAGAGACATGTACACACTCAGAGACACATGTACACACAGACACATGTGCACACACATGTACATACATACAGACACAAATACATACACACAGACACATGTACCACACATGTACATACACATGCACATACACCCAGACACATGTACATAGACACACACACATATATATATATATAAAATATATATATATACACACACAGTGTTTCCACAAAAATAGGACACTGTCTTATATTTATTTTTCCTCAAGAAGACATACTATGGCTTATTTTCAGGGGATGTCTTATTTTATTAAGTATGGGGAACAGCAGCTTTATTGGTGTTTGTGGGGGGTGAGAGAGACCCACAAACTGTTGCTGGTTGGTGCTGGGGGAGAGAGACCCACAGTGCTGAGTAAAACAGCAGGCATAGCTTTACTTCCTACCCCTGAGGACACACAATACGGTACCTAAAGCAGAGCGTCCTGCTCCTCACTTCACTGAGGAGACTTTTACTTTCACTTTCTACCTCTTCACTGTCTCCCTCTATGAATCAGCTTGCAGCATGCACAGAATGACAGAATGACCGGGAGCCAGTCTTGTTGATGGGGCTGCCCGTAACCTCTCCATTCACCTCCAAGATAGCAGCTATCACAATGGGGGAGATGAGAAGGGCTGCCCGTCCATCACTATGTCTTATATTCGGGGTATGGCTTATATAGCGCAAATGCTTAGAAATCCTGCTAAACACGGTATATACTGTATATATATATATATATATATATATATATATATACAGTGGGGATCGAAAGTTTGGGCACCCCAGCTAAAAATTTGTATTAATGATAAAGAAGCCAAGGAAAGATGGAAAAATCTCCAAAAGGCATCAAATTACAGATTAGACATTCTTATAATATGTCAACAAAAGTTAGATTTTATTTCCATCATTTACACTTTCAAAATAACAGAAAACAAAAAAATGGCGTCTGCAAAAGTTTGGGCACCCTGAAGAATTTATAGCATGCACTGCCCCCTTTGCAAAGCAGAGACCTGCCAGTGTCATGGATTGTTCTCAATCATCGTCTGGGAAGACAAGGTGATCTCAATCTCAAAGGTTTTAAATGCCCAGACTCATCTGACCTTGCCCCAACAATCAGCACCATGGGTTCTTCTAAGCAGTTGTCTAGAAAACTGAAACTGAAAATAGTTGACGCTCACAAAACTGGAGAAGGCTATAAGAAGATAGCAAAGCGTTTTCAGATGTCAATATCCTCTGTTCGGAATGTAATTAAGAAATGGCAGTCATCAGGAACAGTGGAAGTTAAAGCAAGATCTGGAAGACCAAGAAAAATATCAGACAGAACAGCTCGCAGGATTGTGAGAAAAACAATTCAAAACCCACGTTTGACTGCACGACCCTCCAGAAAGATCTGGCAGACACTGGAGTTGTGGTACACTATTCCACTATAAAGAGATACTTGTACAAATATGGTCTTCATGGAAGAGTCATCAGAAGAAAACCTCTTCTACGTCCTCACCACAAAAATCATCGTTTGAACTTTACAAATGAACATATAGACAAGCCTGATGCATTTTGGAAACAAGTTCTGTGGACCGATGAGGTTAAAATTGAACTTTTTGGCCGGAATGAGCAAAGGTACGTTTGGAGAAGAAGGGGCACAGAATTTAATGAAAAGAACCTCTGTCCAACTGTTAAGCATGGGGTTGGATCAATCATGCTTTGGGGTTGTGTTGCAGCCAGTGGCACAGGGAACATCTCACGAGTAGAAGGAAAAATGGATTCAAGAAAATTTCAGCAAATTTTGGATGGTAACTTGATGCCATCTGTGAAAAAGCTGAAGTTAAAGAGAGGATGGCTTCTACAAATGGATAATGATCCTAAACACACCTCGAAATCCACAGGGGATTACATCAAGAGGCGTAAACTGAAGGTTTTGCCATGTACTTCACAATCTCCTGACCTCAACATAATTGAAAATCTATGGATTGACCTTAAAAGAGCAGTGCGTGACAGACAGCCCAGAAATCTCAGAGAACTGGAAGACTTTTGTAAGGAAGAATGGGCAAAGATACCTCAAACAAGAATTGAAAGACTCTTGGCTGGCTACAAAAAGCGTTTACAAGCTGTGATACTTGCCAAAGGGGGCAGTACAAGATATTAACTCTGCAGGGTGCCCAAACTTTTGCAGACGCCATTTTTTTGTTTTCTGTTATTTTGAATCTGTAAATGATGGAAATAAAATCTAACTTTTGTTGACATATTAAAAGAATGTCTAATCTGTAATTTGATGCCTTTTGGAGATTTTTCCATCTTTCCTTGGCTTCTTTATGCACATTAATACAAATTTTTAGCTGGGGTGCCCAAACTTTTGATCCCCACTGTACTTGTCCCATGTAGTACATTGCAGAGCTATTCCTTTTTTTTTTTAATACCCCAAAGCACTTCTGTGCCTGGTGGTGACCTTCATAGGACAAAATGCTACCTGCCCATTTTTCTGTTGATTCTGGTGCATTGGCAGGCCATGAATGAGGAATTAGCAAAAACTGGAGCAGACAGAATATGGAGCAACTGTGCATGGCAACTAATCAGCTTCTAGCTTTCATTTTCAAAGCTTAACTGTACAAACGGAATACTGAAGCATAATTGGTTGCCATGCACAGTTGATCCAGATTCTGTCTGCTTCTTATTTAGTAAATGCATGTTTTTTTTTCCAATCCAAACAAATTTTATTGTCAAGGAAACTGAAAAGTAGAAACAGTGCTTGCAGAATCTTTGAAAACATGAAAATACAAACAAAATTATATGTCGTGCTACTACGTGGATGCACAGATCCTGTGACATATTAAAGACCAGAAGCATTGACCAAACAGAACATGAAATATAAGGATCCATGACCACCTTGACAATATATAACATAAAAAACGAAGGCCAAAACCAAGTAATTAGTTCACCTGAGACACCATAAAGAGGACTAAAGGTATGCGTGAACACCCCGAGGGAGATATGGCATTATCTGCTGTATAATAAAATGTCACACTTGCAAGAGCCTATCTACTAACAACTGAGAAGGGGCAAGTCCGGGTACATCTAGACAGCCCTGCCACACAAGCTGAAATTTGCAGTAAACATTACGATGTTGATATGTGAATTTTTCCCTTAGGAGTAGCGAGTTGACATAGTCTATCCATTGCTTTTTAGTTGGTGGGACCGAAGACAGGCATTGCCTTGCAATTAATTTTCTAGCCAGATATAGAAGCCTAGATATCATAATATACACTCCGGGTTGTAACATCTCCTGATCCAAAGCTCCCAGCAGACAAGGTAAGGGATCCTGGGAAACAGTATACTGTCATACTAAGAAAAAGATCTAAAGGACCTACTTCCAATATCTATACATCTTTGGGCATCGCCAAAGCATGTGGATAAAGTCGCCCTGCTGCACCCCTCA